TCAGTTCTGTTCAGTCCCTCAGTCATGTCCAACTCTTTGCCACCCCGTGAATCATAGCACACCAGGCCTCCCTGTCCAGCACCAACACCCAGAACTTACTCAAACTCATGTCCATCGAGTCGGTGATGCCATCCAGACATCTCATCCTCTGTCGTCCCCTCTCCTCCTGCCCCCAATCCCTCCCAGCATCAGGGACTTTTCCAATGAGTCAACTCTTTGCATGAGGTGGCCAAATTACTGGAGTTTCAGCTTCAGTATCAGTCCTTCCAATGAACACCCAGGACTGATCTCCTTTAGGACAGATGGGTTGGATCTCCTTGCAGTCCAAAGGACTCTCAAGAGTCTTCTCCAACACCACAATTCAAAAGCATCAATTTTTCAGCGCCAGAGCTCAGCTTTTTTCACAGTCCAACTCTCACATCAATGCATGACCACTGGAAAAACCACAGACTTGACCAGATGGACATTTGTTGGCAATGTAACGTCTCTTCTTTAAAATATGCTATCTAGGTTGGTCATAACTTTCCTTCCGAGGAGTAAGCGCCTTTTAATTTCATGGCTGTAATCACCATCTGCAGTGATTTTGGAGCCCCCCAAAAAACAGTCTGACACTGTTTCCACTGTTCCCCCATCTACTTCCCATGAAGTGATGGGACTGGATGCCATGATGTTTGTTTTCTGAATGTTGAGTTTGAAGCCAACTTTTTCACTCTCCTCTTTCACTTTCATAGAGGTCTTTAGTTCCTCTTCACTTTCTGCCATAAGGATGGTGTCATCTGCATATCCGAGGTTATTGATATTTCTCCCAGCAATCTTGACTCCAGCTAGTGCTTCTTCCAGCTCAGGGTTTCTCATGATGTACTCTGCATATAAGTCAAATAAGCAGGGTGACAATATACATCCTGGTCAGGATGGTCATCATCAAAAACAAATTACAAACAGTAAATGCTGGATGGGTGTGGAGAAAAAGGAACCCTCATGCACTGTTGTGGGTTCCCTGATGGCTCAGATGGTAAAAAGTCTGCCTGCAGTGCACAAAACCCAGGTTTGATCCCTGCGTAGGGAAGATCCTCTGAAGAAGGGAATGGCAACCCACTCCAGTTGGTAAAAATGTTAACTGATGCAGCCACTGTGAAGAATGGTATGGAGGTTCCTTAAAAAACTGAAAATAGAGTTACTATATGATCCAGAAAGCACACCACTGGACATATTCCCTAAGAAATCAATAATGGTTTTTGCATCACAGGACTTGGATGCGGCCTAAATGTTCATCAGTTGATGAATGGATAAAGAAGACATGGTACATATATAAATGGAATACTCAGTTCAGTTCAGTCACTGTGGTGACTGACTCTTTGTGACCCCATTGATTGCATGCAGCATGCCACGATTCCCTGTCCATGAACTCTTGGAGCTTGTTCAAACTCATGTCCATAGAGTCAGTGATGCCATTCAACTTACTCATGCTCTGTTGTCCCCTTCTCCTCTTGCCTCAGTCTGTCCCAGCATCAACACCATGGACTGCAGCACACAAGGCTTCCCTGTCCATCAACTCTCAGAGCTTGCTCAAACTCAAACTCATGTCCATTGAGTCGGTGATGCCATCCAACCATCTCATCCTCTGTTGTTGCCTTCCCTTCTTGCTTTCAATCTTTCCAGCACCAGGGTCTTTTCCAGTGAGTCAGTTCTTTGTATCAGGTGGTCAAAGGATTGGAGTTTCAGCTTCAGCATCAGTCCTTCCAAGGAATATTCAGGACTGATTTCCTTTAGGATAGACTGGTTTGATCTCCTTGTAGTTCAAGTGACTCTCAAGGGTCTTCTCCAATACCACAGTTCAAAAGCATCAGTTCTTTGGTGCTCTGCTTTCTTTATCATCCAACTCTCACATCCATACATAACTGCTAGAAAAATCATAGCTTTGACTAGATGGACCTTAGTTGGCAAAGTAATGTCTCTGATTTTTAACATGCTGTCTAGGTTGGTCATAGCTTTTCTTCCAAGGAGCAAGCACCTTTCAATTTCATGGCTGCAGTCACCATCTGTAGTGATTTTGGAGCCCCCCAAAATTAAGTCCTTACTGTTTCCATATCTATTTGCTATGAAGTGATGGGACCAGATGCCATGATCTTCGTTTTTTGAAAGTTGAGTTTTAAACCAGATTTTTCACTCTCCTGTCTCACTTTCATCAAAAGGCTCTTTAGTTCCTTTTCACTTTCTGTCATAAGGGTGGTGTCATCTGTATATCTGAGGTCATTGATATTTCTAGCAGCAATTTTGATTCCAGCTTGTGCTTCATCCAGCATGACATTTCGCATGAAATATTCTGCATAGAAGTTAAATAAGCACTATACAGCCTTGACATACTCCTTTCCCAATTTGGAACCTGTCTGTTTTTCCATGTCTGGTTCTAACTGTTGCTTTTTGACCTACATACAGATATTACTCAGCTATAAAAATGATTGAAATTAGGTCATTAGCACATTGTTAACCAGCTATACTCCAATATACAAAAAAGGGTAAAATAAAGAATAGTTTGGTTAAGCACATATCCTTTTTCACAGCTTACTTGACTAGTAAGCTAAACATTAGAAAAAAGTTGCCTAGGTACAGTGACTTTGTAAACCTAAATAAACGTTGTAAACCTCAATGTTCTTCAAAGTTGGTGTCAAAACAAAGAAGTAATTTCAGATGTGAAAAAATATTTAAGGCTCTGAGTTTAATGAATTGTTTGAGTAAGAAGAGCGAGTAGCACACATGGAAAGGTGCCAAAACTCTACCTGGTAAGAATGCTTTAAGTTTCCCATCCTTCTGTACTACCCATGTTTTCAGAGCTACTATAATTTCATGCAGAATGTTCCACTACATTCTATAGGTCCTTTATCTTCAGTATCACATTAAACATGAGGTTAAATTAGGAAAGAAAAAGCACAAAGAATATAAAGGGGCAATGGAGTATAAGAATCTTCCTGGTTGCTCTGCTAGTTACGTCTGTGTCACCTCCCTGCTGGAGCAAGCGTGGTGGTAAGGCGATGATGGTGATGGTGGTGATGGAGACAATGATGATCTGCTGTCTTCCCAGTGCCATTTATGTGCCCCAACATGTACAAAATAAAGTACACACAATCATGTAATTTTTATGCCTCAGGTATTTTGCAGTGTAACACTGTTTTCACCATTTCAGTAAAGGGACTTTAATTCTGAGGAGTTAAATAACTTTTTACTCAAATTAGCCAAGCAGTAATTAACATGGAATTTAAATTATAGACCAATAATCTTTTTTTTAAAAAAAGCTTTCTTTCTTTTTTAAACAGTGTATTTATTTATTTATTAATTTATTTTGGCAGTGCTGGGTCTTCACTGGTACATGGGCTTTGCTCTTGTGGCCATGAGTCGGGCTGCTATCCAATTGTGGTGTGCGGACTTCACACTGAACTGACTTCTCTTGTTGTGGAGCACAGGCTCTAGGGTGCTTGGACTTCAGGAGTTGCAGCTTGTGGGCACAGGAGTTGCGGTTTCTGGGCTCTAGAGCACAGGCTCGATAGTTGTGTCACATGGGCTTAGTTGCTCCACGAAATGTGGGATCTTCCCGGAGTAGGAATCAAACCCATGTCTCCTGCATTGGCAGGTGGATTCTTTACCACTGACCCATCAGGGAAGATCAGAAAGGATCTCTGATATTACTCAAAATTCAGACAACACTGATTGTGGGAGCTAGAACTTTAGGATCAAAGAAGGATTAGCAATAAACCCAAATACAATATGCTATTGTTGTACGTGGTTTTAATAGAAAACAAACAAACAAACATTGTTACCATCACAAAAGAGAATTGTAGTTTATTCAGGAAGTGGAGAAGAAGTAACAATTGTCCAGTTGGTAGAAAGCCCTGCACAGGTGACAGACAGGCACAGAAGACAGGGAGAGAATCTTCTGATGGTGCCCCGGAGGAGAGCTGCTGCTCTTCCCTCTGAAGCACTGAGTTTTCTCAGCTGTCTTCCCAGAGGCAAGTGGTGTAGCTGCCTCAGGAAGGAAGCCTCTGGCTGTCAGGAGTCCCCACAGGCATACTGCAGGCTTAAGGATGGAGAAGCTTCTTCTATATCCATGATAGGCTTTGAAGAGAGATGAAGGTGGAGCTGTGGAGCTAGATGAGTCAGCTGCAAATATGGTGGTGAGGGTAACAGGGGTGGTGATGGTGGTGATGATGGAGACAATGATGACCTGTTGTCTTCCAAGTGCTATTTATGTGTCTGCAATGCGCCAACTAAATTATACACATTCCTTGAATATGGATTCCTTAGAAGTTTGAAATGAAAATACAATTTTCCCTTTCTCTTTACTAAAGAGAATGAAAACCTGGAGAGGTAAATATTTTGATCCTCAAACCATCAAGTGATAAATAAGGAAATAACATGGAATTGAAATTATGTAGAAGTATTCTTTGTTAAGACTCAAAATTTAGACAGCGCTGATTGTGAGAGCTTGATCCCTGTCATCAAAGGATAAAAACAAAACCAGATGGTGATACGGTATTACTAAAAGCAGTTTTAAAAGAAAGAAAACATTTTTGCCATCACACAAAGGAACTGTAGTTTATTGGTGAGGAGGAGGATAAGCAACAGTTGGCCAGCTGGTAGAAACCCCTGCCCAGGTGACAGACAGACCCAAGGGAGGGAGAGAATCCTCTGATGGTGCCCGGGAGAAAAGCTGCTGCTCTTCCATCTGAAGCTCCGTGGTGCTTTCCCAGCTGTCCTCCCAGAGGAGAGCAGAACAGCAGCCTCAGGAAGGAAACCTCTGGCTGTCAGGTATCACCACAGGCATAGTGCAGGCTGAAGGATGGAGAAGCTTCTTCTATATCCATGATAGGCTTTAAAGGGAAGATGAAGGTGGAGCTGTGGAGCCAGGTGAGTCAGCTGTCCTCATCCTTTCCTGATGCAAATGCAAGCTGATGCTTCTACTTGCTTTTGGGTGGGCACTTCTGCTGGCATTGTTGGGGAGGTGGCACAGGAGGGCATTTCTGCTGGCACTTTGGAGGTGGGCATGGCTCAGGGCACTTGGGAGGTGGGCAAGGCTCAGGGCACTTTGGAGGTGGGCAAGGCTCAGGGCACTTGGGAGGGCACACTACTGGAGGTGGCTGGCAGGGCTGCTTGCATTGCTGCTGCTGATAAGACATCTTTCTGGAGTCTCAGAATCTGAAAGAAATTACATGACAGTGTTCACAAGAAGGAACTGCTACAAGGAGAAAAGTCTGAGTTTGTTTAATAGCATAGGATAGAATCTCTGAAGTCCCTAAGAATGTGGTTTGATCTCTTTAATCCCGTTCAATGAAATTCTGGCCTCTCTCTCCCTCTTTAACAAATTGTGTTATTGGCTCAGAGAAAATCTTTTTACATACAACTTTTCAAAAATCCAATCAATGTTGTTCTGTTTTTCTTTTTTTTTCTGAAAACAGCATCTTCAATAAAGGCCATCATATTCCAAAATCCTAGGTAAGCTCACAAGCAATTTTCATCATCATTATCTATCATGAGGTCCCAGAAGTATCACTTGTGTACAGAGCAAAAGACCACCAGGAAGGATACAAAGGCCCCACTCCCTCTAAGATAAATGACTCTTCAATAACAGCAGAAGGACACAAGAAAGATACAGAAAAAGGAAAAATACTTCTACTTGGCTTCTTCTTGTCACAGATTTTTTTTTAAATCTCTTCAGGAAAGGAATTCAAACTCTGTAACAGGAATTTAATAAATACTGTAAAACACTGTGTTCAAATTCCAAACTCCCATCCACTAAGGAGTATTAAAGTCATGACAATAACTTTGGACACAGAAAATTTGCTATAGCCAGAATTAATTCACAAGTAGAGAGCCCAAGAATAGAGCTGAACTGAAGAATCAGACTCACCAGGTTCTCCAAAACCTATCCGGGACTTGAGTAGCAGGAGGATGGCAGTGATACAGCAGAGGGCCTCTTTATAGGGACTTGCTGCCCCACCCAGGAGGAAGCAGAGCTGCCACACAGGCCTGGTTCAGTCATTTCCCAACCAAAATGAAAATCCATCCATAAGTGGCCTGATGGGGACTCCAGAAAGAGGAAATGTCCTGCTCCAGGATCTCCTCCCTGGATTATCTTCCCATGACGCACAGCATCCTTGTCTTAAGCTCTCTGTTTCAGGGGTTTATGGCAGTGGGAGGATTTGGGAGCTTCTTTAACTGGGAGTCAAAGCCTCCCTTTCTTGATTGGAGAAGATTCCTCTTTGATATCTTTCACCTTCTATGAATTATGAAAGTGCCTGTCGAGTTCCACTTGAAGTGGTTGCATTTTATTGAACATACTGGGCTGAAAAGAGCGTGGCTATCTAGTGACACCTTTTTCTTTACCTCAAGTCCTTCTTATAATGCTTTTCCCTTTGATCCATGACCTGCTAATCTAAGTTTCCTTTCTTTTTCTAAACTGGACCGAGGTCAGGTTGCACATCATCTCTCCAGCCTTCCCATCATAATACTTAGACATGTTCAGTCAAGTGGTGCCCTCTAGGATCCTCCTTTCACTGCTTTTCTCCCTCAGATAAAAGACAAAGCTCATTCTTGCAGCCTTTAGAAATCTGTTTCACTTTGGGTCACAGGGAATTCACTAGTTTAGCATCATCTACTGTAATTCAGGTGTTGCTGCAGCCCAGACTCTAGACCAACAACAGAAAGCAAGCTTTTTGCACATAACTCCCCCACATGACATACCACCTACTTCTACATAATTTCTCCCAACTGTCCTCTTTGTACTACTTCACTCTATGAAGGAAGCTCAGAGCATAGTCCGAATTTTCTAAAGTCCTTCCCCTTTGAAATATCGAAAGGCCCAATCTGGGAAGTAATGCCATAAAACAACTATTTTTTAATGAAAGTTGAAGAAATCATTATGAGCCATTCAATCATTGAAGTTAATTGCCATTCATATACAACTTCTCAATCATTAATAAGAATTTCACTGTAATTTAAACCAATTTTTCAGATTTACCATACTGGTTACAGGGAATATATGTTAAGTAAACCTCTTTCCTGGTCACTTCCTTCATATACTTTGTCAGTGTTCTAGAAGGAAGCATGGTTAATTTATGAGTCATCTTGACTGGCACAGGGTGCCCAGATATTTGGTCAAATTCCATGTGTTTCTCTAAGGATTTTGTTTTAATGAGAAGGGCTTCCCTGGTGGCTCACTGGTGAAGTATCTGCCTAACAAGCAGGAGATGCCAGTTTGATCACTGGATCAGGAAAATCCTCTGGATAAGGAAATGGAAATCCACTGAAGTAGTCTTGTCTGGAGAATCCCACAGAGAGAGGGCTACATTTCATGGGGTCACAAAGAGTCGGACACAGCTTAGCGACAGACTTTTACTTTTTAATATATAAGTCAGTGGTCTGGGTCAAGGAGATGCCTTCTGTAAGGTGTGTAGTCCTTCATCCATTGAAGGCCTGAATAGAGCAAAAGTCTAAGTCTTTCTTGGGTAAGAGATAATCCTCTTGCCTGATGGCCTTCCACAGGTTTTCAGTTCCACAAATTTTGAATTTGCCATCGTTTGCAATCTCTCATCCTCTCTCTTTCCTGTTTCTCCCTGTGTCTGTCATTCTCTCATATAAAAAATTATATAATATGTATTATATTATAATTTGAAAATTTAATCTGCCATTTCATGTACATCATTTCCTATGTTCAATCAAGTTAAAAATTCAAGAAGATTGGGTAAAGTGATTAAAGTAAAAATGTAAATATTACATAATACATGTGAAGTGTAAATATGACCAATATAATAAATTTTTAGAGGATAACTGAAGTTCAAGAGAGAATGCCCTAGCATGTTCTCCAGCCTTGGCAAAATATTTCATTATGCCTTGTCAGAGATTTAGCTCTCAATAATTCTTCTACAGTTCCTCTGTTCAGGCCTGGAGCTGAACTATCCTCTTTTCTGTACTATCCTCTTGGGCACTGAAAATTTTCATAATAGGCTGTGGCTGGTGAGGAATCATGTCTGGTTTAGGAGTAAAGTTACAATGCTGGCTTTATATTACTATAGAATGTGGGAACACAGCTAATGGAATCAGGATGTCCCCTTTCAGCATAACCCTACAATACCCTAGAATGCTGTCTCGTGCTGAGGATTACTTTACCAGGAAATACATCATTTTTATTCCAATAGTAAATATCAGGTTTAAATTGCATAAAAACAGAAATGAATGTAATATACTATTTAAGACTCACACCGCCACATACAAGGGATTGAGAGTAGGTTTTGGAAGGGAATGAGGATCAGAGAACCAAACATCTGAAATAGTTAAATACAAGCTTAGGGTATATCTGATGAGTTTGTTTTCTTCTACTCCATCCCAACATGGTTTATATCTTTAAAAGAGTGTGGTTTTGGAAAATCCCATGGACAGAGGAGCTAGGTGAGTACAGTCCACAGGGTCGCAAAGAGTCAGGCATGACTGAGCAAGTACACACTTTCTTTCTTTAAATGTTTTTAATGTTTATTCTCTAACTTCTCCTTCAACCATTCAGACCTCTCATCCTGCCATATTACTCTTCACTTCCTAATGTATTAATATATATCTTAACTGTCCAATTTAATACACTGAGGTGTTGGCAAAGCATTTAGTAATAGTCCTTTCATATCTTTCTTATTTCTTCCTGCAATCAGTGGAATAATTGACCTACTAACTTGTCTTGGTCAAATAATCAGGAAGCTTTTCAAGAATGTAGTTTTATAAATAGGAAGGGAGGAAGAGGAGAAGAATGAAGAGGAAGAGAAATAGGAAACACTTGAAAGCTCTGTAACAGTCAGCGGGTATGCATGTTCCAGAAGTCAGGACGTAATATTTTCCTTTAGCTCAGCAGCATCTCCACTGACTACCATATATTTTTTAAATATTATAATAAAGAGGAGAAGTCAAGTTGGTAGAATAGGAGGATGTTAAACTCGTCCTTCCTCACATATATATTTCAAGTATACATCTCCAAACTTAATAATTCTCAACAGAAAACTTGGTGAATATTACTGGAAGTCTTTGGAAACCTAAAAGGACAAGAAAAATACACTCATAATTAGGCAAAATGGCAAAAGTAAAACAGAAAGAGGAATCAAAACAGGGACCAGCAACCCTGACAAGAAGCTGAAGATGGAGGGGAAAAGCCCATCACAGTGGGGGAATCAGCTGGGACAGAAATGGGCCTTCAGGGGATCAAAGCAGAGGATGGTCTGTGAAAGGCAAGACTAAGAGCTGCATGCATGGTCTGTGCCACAGCCCTGCTCATCCTAGCCTGAATCATGTGTCTCCTGTTGCAGAGTGGGGCTGGGTGCTGTAACACGGGGTTTGGAGTGAAGATTCAGGGAGGGAACAGTTGTTGACTGTGAAAAGACAGCCTGGAGGGGCAGGAGTAAGGAGTTCTACAGCTGGGAAAGTTTGCAGATAAAGCCTGGGACACCACAGAAGCTAGGTGTCCTTGTTGAGTGGCATGTAAGGGGCAGGGCTGCCATCATAACCACTTTCCCACCTGCCAACTTCCTTGGCCTTCACAGGCAATTGAAGGGGCTCCCCTTGAGTCATCCTGACCATTCCTCAAGCCAAGGCCTCTTCTACACAAGTAGGCTCAGTGGTCCTGAGGACTGCCCCTCTTAAAGCCAGATTCAGAATTAGCTCTGAGAGCCTTTGCGCTGGCAGGGGCTGAATGCTAAAGTGTCGGGTTAAGAGAGTGGATCCTGGGAGAGGATCGCTGTTGGCTTCACAGATAAAACAGAGAGGACAGGAGCTAGGGGATCTGAGGCTGGGAATGCCAACTGGAGGAAGTGTGTTCTGCCCAGGAAACGTGGCTCCATTGTTAAGTAGCATGCAAAGGCTAGGGTCATTACAGTCCCCACACCACATACCAGCCCCTGCCTTTCTGGGCACTGGGAGGGAATCCCACCAGGGCAAGTGTGGCCCCATCTGTTGCAACTGCCTGTTGGCCTACATCACCACAGGCAATTTGTGCACACTCAATTGTTGCAGCTGGTCTGAGTAAGTAAGTGTGTGCCACTCAGCCACTATTTTCACTCTCTCTCATCTGGGTGGGGAACAGATGTCTGAGGTGGCATGCACACAC